GAAGGTTTGTGACTTGGCATTTATGGTTGGTGAGCGGGTCTTGCTTCGGGTATCACCTATGAAGGGTGTCAGGAGGTTCGGGAAGAAGGGAAAGCTGAGCCCGAGGTTCATTGTTCCTTTTGAGATATTGTGGTGAGTTGGGGAGGTTGCTTATAAGCTTGCCTTGCCTCCCAGCCTAGCATGAGTTCACCCGGTATTCCACGTGTCTATGCTCCGGAAGTATCACGGTGATCTGACTCATGTATTGGATTTCAGCTCAGTCTAGTTGAACAAAGATCTATCTTATGTTGAGGAGCCAGTAGCCATTTTGGACAGGCAGGTCAGAAAGCTCAGGTCAAAGAATATTGCTTCAGTAAAGGTCCAGTGGAGGGGTCAGCCGGTCAAGGAGCCGACTTGGGAGACCGAGCAGGATATGCGCAGCCAGTACCCTCATCTTTTCACAGTTTCAGGTATGTCTTTATACTCGTTCGAGGACGAACGATTGTTTTAAGAGAGGGAGGATGTAACGACCTGGCCGGTCATTTTGAGAATTAGAGCCCCGATCCCCTAATAACTGTTTTTCCCACGTTTGTTTCCGCTATTGGGACTTGCCGGAGTGATTGGTTATGGAATTCAGAGAGTTTTGGGACACTTAGTCCCTAGTTGTGAGTTTAAGCCTTAGAGTTTGAATCGTAGTCGGAACTATGTGAAGACGGATCCGGAATGGAATTCCGTCAACTCCGTTAGCTCCGTTGAGTGATTTTGGGATTAGGAGCGCGTCCGGAATGTGTTTTGGGGGTCTGTAGTAGATTTAGGCTTGAATTGGCGAAAGTTAGTTTTTTGGCAATTTCGGCCGATAGTGGAAATTTTGATATCGAGCTCGGAATGGAATTCCGAAAGTGGCTGTAGGTTCGTAATGTCATTTGTGACATTTGTGCAAAATTTGAGGTCATTCAGACGTGGTTTGATAGGTTTCAGCATCAGTTGTAGGAATTTGAAGTTTCAAGTTCTTAAAGTTTGAATTGGAAGGTGATTCGTGATTTTAGCGTTAGTTGATGTGATTTGAGGGCTTGACTAAGTTCGTATGGTGTTTTAGGATTGGTTGGTATGTTTGGTTGAGGTCCCGGGGGCCTCGGGTGTGTTTCGGATGCTTAACGGGCGAAAGCTTGGACTTAGAGGAATTTTCGATCTTTGCTGGTTCTGGTGTTTCGCACCTGCGAAAAAGAGACCGCAGGTGTGCGAGCCGCACATGCGGAGATGCAAGCGCAGATGCGAGAAGTCGAGAGTTGTCCTGGGGTCGCAGGTGCGAGGAAGTTCCGCATCTGCGATGCCCGCAAATGCACAAGGCTGTTCGCAAATGGGCAAGATACGCAGAAGCGGAAGGGATGTTCGTAGGCGCGAGCGCGAGCGCACAAGTGCGGCCCTTTCGTCGCATGTGCGAAGGCAGAGGGGGCAAGTGAGTTTCACAGATGCGCAATTTTTCCGCACAAGCACACCCGCAGGTGCGGGCCCAGGTTCCGCATGTGCGAAAATACCTGGGCAGTGATTAAAACCGAAGGGCTTCGCGATTTTTATCATTTTTGGCTTTGCAAACTCGGGTTAGGGCGATTTTTGAGAGCATTTTCGAGGAATTTCTTGAGGTAAGTTCCTTGTGTTTATTTTTGGTCAATAATCTTGCCTTGCCATGTATTTTTCCACCTAGTTAATATGTATTTAAGGTGGAAATTGAAAGTTGGAGGCTAAGGATTTGGAAGTTTGAATTGTGGATTGGAGGACCATTTGGTGTCAGATTATAGTAAATTTAATATGGTTAGACTCGTGAGTGAATGAGCTTTCTAGTTTCGTGAATTTTGTCGGGTTTCAAGACGTGGGCCCGGGGCCCGGGTTTGAGCCAATTTCGGATTTTGGCCTAATTTTTGTAGTTTTTCTTGTGGGATTCATTCCATTAGCGCGTATTGATGGTATTGTACTATTTTGAATAGATTCGGGCCATTTGGAGTCGGATACTCATGGCAAGAACGTGATATCAGGTTGATTTGAGCGGTTCGAGGTAAGTGGCTTGCCTAACCTTGTATTGGGGACTTTTCCCTTAAGGTGTTTGATATTAATTGATGTGTGGGCGTCGTGTACGTGAGGTGACGAGTACGTACACGGGATATTATTGCAAAAATCCCATTTTTCCTTTCTAAATCACAAATTGTTTTTCCTTATTAAATTGCACTAATACGTTTAATTGTGAAACTTAGACTAGAGAAGCATGCTTACGTGTTTTAACTGCCTAATTGACATTCTGTGCGTCATGTTTGGTTAAGTCCTTATTTGCCTTATCTGTATCTAGTATAAACTGTATAACTCGATGCCATACCTGTCATTTCATCTTGCGTTGCATATTTAAATTGGGACTACGGACGTATTTCGGGAGATCCCCCTATACTGCACATTTAAATTTGGATTATGGACGTATTCCGGGAGATCTCCCTGTACTGCATATTTACTTTGGGACTACGGACGTATTCCGGGAGATCCCCATGTTCTGCATATTTAAATTGGGACTACGGACGTATTCCGGGAGATTCACCTGTACTGCATATTTACTTTAGGACTACAGACGTATTCCGGTAGATCCCCCTGTACTGCATATTCATTTGAAACTACGGGATAGTATCCCGAGAGATTCCCCACTGTGTTTACCTTGTTCTGAGCCGAGGGCTCCCTTAACTGTTAAATTTTAGAGAATTTCTTTAATTGTGTTACCGTAAAGTTTACTTATATCTTCTACTTTTTAATTTATTATATTTACTCCGGTAGGGCCTTGACCTGACCTCGTCACTACTCGACCGAGGTTAGGCTTGGCACTTACTGGGTACCATTGTGGTGTACTCATGCCCTTTCCTGCACATGTTTTTCGTGTGCAGATCCAGGTACGAGCTATCAGCCTTGGGGTTAGCGTGTGTTGCTGATTCTAGGAGACTTCAAGGTACTTCTGCTTGCGTCCGCAGATCTTTGGAGTTTCCTTCTACTCCCTCGCCTAGAGACTTTCCTTATTATCTTCAGACTTTTGTATAGATCTACATAGATTATAGTAGCTTGTGACTTAGTGATATTCCGGGTCTTGGAAAATTATTTTGTATATGTCGAGTGGTACTACTCTTGTCTATTTAAAATATGTTGTTTATCTTTAAACTGTTGTGTTTTTTTAATATATTTTCCGCAATATTAGGCTTACCTAGTCGTAAAGACTAGGTGCCATCACGACACCTTACAGAGGGTTAATTTGGGTCGTGACACTACCTCTTCTCGTGCCTTCTAAAGCCAGCCTCTCACACCTCCTCACCGGTGCATCTGGGCTTCTCCTCTATACATGCCCGAACCATCTGAGCCTAACTTCCTACATCTCCCGAATATCATCATTCCTAATCTTATCCATCCTCGTGTGCCCACACATCTACCTCAACATCCCCATTTCTGCTACTTTTATTTTCTGGATATGTGAGATATTAACTAGCCAATACTCAACCCAATACACCATGGCTGGTCTAACCACCGCTCTATTAAACTTACCTTTGAGTAATAGTGGCACTTTCTTGTCACACAGGACTCCAGATGCTAACCTCCACTTCATCTACCCAACCCCAATACAGTGTGTGACATCCTCGTGGATCTGCCCATCCCCCTGGATAACCGACCCAAGGTACTTGAAACTGCCTCTACTAGGGATGACCTGATATTTAAGCCTCACGTCCATTCCCTCTTCCCTCGGATCGGTGCTGAACTTGCACTCCGGGTATTCCGTCTTGGTCCTGCTCAGCTTGAAGCCCTTAGACTCAAGGGCCTGACTCCAAACCTCCAACCTCTCATTAATACCGCCTCGCGTCTTATCAATCAGAATTATGTCATCAGTGAATAACATGCACCATGGCACATCCCCTTGAAAATGGTGTGTTAGTACGTCCATCACCAGGGAAAATAAGAATGGATTGAGCGCAGATCCTTGGTATAATCCCATAACAACCGGAAAATGCTCTGAGTCACCTTCTATAGTCCTAACCCGAGTCTTAGCCCTATCATACATGTCCTTAATAGCTCTAATGTAGCAACCGACATACCTTTTTCCTCCAAGCATCTCCAGATAACCTCTCTAGGAACCTTGTCATATGCTTTCTCCAGGTCAATAAACACCATGTGCAAATCCTTTTTCCTATCCCTATACTGCTCCACCAACCTCCTTATAAGGTGGATAACTTCCATATTAGAATGACCCGACATGAACCCAAACTGGTTGTGGATATAGACACTGTCCTCCTTACCCTCACTTCTATAGTACCCAAAGTTATAGTGACTCTCGGAATGCTCCAACTCACCTAGCTCAATATCCTGTTCCCCTTCTTCATTCAGAAGTTTATGAAAGTAAGTTTGCTATCTCTTTTTAATCTGAGCCTCACCCATCAAATACTATGTCGTCCTCGTCCTTGATTCACCTCACTTGGTCCAAATCCCGAGCCTTCCTCTCTCTCGCCTTGGCTAGCCGGAATAACTTTTTCTCCCCACCTTTGTCCCCCAGTTCCTCGTACAGACAACGAAAAGCCACAGTCTTAGCCTCTGTGACCGCCAGCTTAGCCTTTTTCCTAGCTACCTTATATCTCTCCTTGCTCGCTTTCCTCTCCTCCTCACTTGTACTCCCTACTAACTCCAGGTATGCTGCCTTCTTTGCTTCTACTTTACCTTGGACCGCTTCATTCCACCACCAGTCACCTTTGTGCCCGCCAGAGTTGCCCGCCGAGACCCCTAGCACCTCTCTCGCAGCCTCCCATATACAGCCTGCCATCATCGCCCACATAACACTCGCGTCCTCGCTACTACTCTAGGCTCCTATAGCCTCTAACCTCCCCTCCAGCTCCTGAGTTTTATCCTTAGTCAAGTCTCCCCACCTGATCCTCGATCGTCCTCGTACAGACCTCTTCTTTCTCTTTAACATACTACTAACGTCCATCACCAAGAGCCTATGCTACATCGCGAGGATCTCACCCGGGATAACCTTGAAATCCTTGCACAACCCTGCCACATCTCCTAAGGAGAAGATAGTCAATCTGAGTCTTCACCACCGTACTTTGGAAAGTAACCAAGTGCTCTTCCCTCTTCATAAAACTAGATTTCGCAATCACCAACTCAAAATCCTTAGTGAAATTCAACAGTGAAGTACCTCCTCCGATCATATCCCCAAAGCCGAAGTCGTCGTGCACCTTGCCATAGACACCTGCAGCTGACCCAATATGTCCATTGAAATCCCCTCCGATAAATAACCTCTCAGCAGGCAGAACATTACGCACAATCTCAACCAACCCCTCCCAAAAGCACCTTTTAACCTCCTCATCCATGCCCGCATGCAGCGCATAAAAGCTAACAACGTTTAGGGTGCACTCTTCAACTACCATCTTAATAGTTATTAATCTATCATTCACCTGCCTAACCTTAACCACAGACTATCTAAGTTCCCTATCCACCAGAATACCTACTGCATTCTTACCCTTTCGGACTCCAGAGTACCAAAGCTTATACCCGTCTGCATCCCTCGCCTTCAATCCTACCCACCTTGTCTCCTGGACACACGCTATATTGATCTTACGCTTCTAGAGGATCTTCGCTAACTTTATAGACTTACCCATCAATGTTTCTATGTTCCATGAACCAATTCTCAACGTATAGACTCCCTTGTTCCCCTTGCCTCCTCCCCCACCCCTGACCCCTGACCCGAGGACATGACCTTACTCTACCATCCCAGAATACAACCACTATACCTACGACAAACTAAGAAAATCACTAACACACAAGAGACAATAGACCAAACTAAAAGAGAATAAGTTGTAACTACAAGCACACTAATATGGAGATTAAACCATTGCGAACTAAAATGGCAATAATATAGCTAACACAAAGAAGGGAAATAGGAATACGAGAGGTACCAACTCCTGCGAATAGAACCTGGAGATTGTCTTGATGCACACGACGATGTTGCGGCACTTGGCGCGTTCCCGTCCAATTTCCCGTTACCCCTTGCTAACACTCGCCCGAGCTATTCTCTAATGTTTGCATGTACACGTCCCACTCATCGCCAATAGCCCTGACTCTAACCTGCAATATACACAAAATACCACGGCACCAAGAAAAGGGGGGCTATCACCGCTACCACTCGTGAAGCCCTAGCAATAGCAAAGAAGGAAAAAGGGAGAGGAAAAGAATAAGGGGGGGGGGAGGGTACACGTATGTAATAAGAAGAAGGAAAGACAGGGAACAAGGGGGCAAAGCTGTTGCAGTCACCGGAAAAAAGGTTGTCAGTGGGCAGCAATGCAACACCAATAGTAGCGAAGAAGGGAAATGGGAGAGGAAAAGAAAAAAAAGGGGGGGAGAAGAAAAATAGTGTATGTNGAGCGTGAGGAGAGAAAGAGGGAGCGTGGAGAGAGAAGAGAGGAGAGAGGAGAGAGAGTATTAGTCAATAAAGTTGAAAAGAAAGTAATCCACCATATTGAAAAAAAATCGAAATCGTCCCGTAGAAACGAGTTGCACAAATTAGCCACAAGTAATGGCAATTTCTTTTCTTTTTAGCACAACAAATGCTTATGTACTTTCGAAAATGGAAGGAATGAAGTAAAGTCCTTTTATTTTTATCTTGTTTCTTTTCCGAACGATAAATTAATTTTATCATTTAAAAGTTAAACAAGTACTTCAAATGCTAGTGCCGAAATGAACAGGAGACGTCCTCTTCAAGAGCACTGTAAACATAAGAGGGCCCTCTCTTATGAAACGCTCATAGTAAATAGTTGATTTCGAAAGAACTTATGCCGGGAACCCAAATGCTATCGGAGAAAAATGCACCCGAAGCCTTGCATAATTCGATGCAAAGAGAAAAACTTGCGCAATACTTAAACAAAAAAGTACTACTATATAATAACGTGCCAAGCAGCACAAATATGAAGTAAAAAACAAAAAGGAGAGAAAGCAAAAAGCTAAACTACTGCATCCCTAGAATCCAGGGGAAGAGAAGCATTTGCGCCCCCAGGAGAAGTAGGTGGATCTATTGCCGGCTCGAGGTCTTGACCTTCATCATCATCCCCTTCAAGTTCTTCTTTAATTCCCAAGAACTCATAACCAGAACAAGAGGAATTTGTCACATCGGGTTGGACCGGAAGGCCCCTTCGGGCAGTTGACTCCAGCTCACGGGCCTTGGAGATCTCGGCATCAAAGTTAATAACACCCACTTTGGCCTCTTCCAAGGTTTTTCTTCTCATGCTATACATAGAATATATTTTTTCAACAATGAGGGAAGCCTCTCGGCACTTAAGCTCTTCCTTAAGCTGGTCAACCTCGATTGAAAGGCTATTCCTCTAAGACCTAATGGCTTGAAGGCTAACGTCGAGGTCATGGATAGTGGAGTTGTAAACTTTATTATGATCCATGACCTTCTTATACTTTTCCTACATTCAGACATGCTTCTCCTCAACAACAATAACTTTTTCAATTGCGTAGTTCAAGGCTGCCTCCAAATTATTCAGGCTTTCGGTAGAGGCAGCCTCACGATCGGCAGCAGCAAGAATGACATTTTAGACCTCAACCCACTTTGTCTTGGCTTCTTCAATATGTAACCTTAAAATTACGGCCTCTTGGATGAGGGTTGCTACATCTTGCTCGATTTGCTGCAACCGAGCTTCCAACTCAATGGCCTCAGCAGCTTGTGCTTCTAGTTACGGGAGGCGAGCAGCAATTGATCCCGCTCGGCCAACAATTGATCTCGCTCGGAGGTGAGTTTCTCTTTGTTAAGGATTAACCTCTAAAGGCCCTCAAAAGCAAGGAAGTTAGCCTGCAAAATAAAAGTACAAATTAAAAATCATGTCATAACAAAGATATAAGGAACAACAGAGGCAACAAAGATCGTACTGCCGCTACGTTGTGCAAGGCATTGTTCACCATACACTCTCCCGAGAGAGACTGTATTTTATTCCTATCCTTTTTTGAAGCCAGAGGCTTCAGATAACTGGCAAGTTCCACCGGTCGGGATAGCAGATGGCATTCAGTAGAAATCGAGAGGGAGACGCTCCTCCTCCTATAAGGATCTGCGGAGGGGAACAAATAGTTATGCCCCAAATTCCTATGAACTAGGGACTGGGGAGGAGGGACATCCTTCTCTCAGACTACTGCAGCCGGTGAAAATAATGTAGCAGTTGCTGGTGGTAAAGGAAAAGTTGGTGAAGACGGAGATGAAGCTGGTGGCATTATAGGTAGGGAAGCAGCTGAAGCAAAAGTAGTGCTAATTATTGGTTTCTCAACAACTGAAGACGTAAGAATCTCGGTACTCAGCCTCGTAGTACTGGGAACATTGACTGGGGCTCGGACACGAAAGTTGGCATCCTCCACCATATCAAACTCCCCTAGAGCGCTTGAGCGTTGTCATCGGTTGGTATTATTAGTTCAGCATATTGAGCATTCTTTTGAGCTGATGAAGGTTGTCATATTCTATGTAGAGAATCTTCTTCATTACTGGCTTGCCCATCATTATTGATCACCACAGTGGCTGCAGCAGGCTCGGCCATGGCTCTCTTCGCCTTTTTATTTTTATCCTCGGCCGCAGAGGAATGTCGCCTTTTTTGTTTATTGTTCTCCGGTCAGGGACTCCAAGACGAAGCACCTGCAACAGAAGCAGGTCTGACGACACCCGTTCGAGTGAAGGCCTCCTGCAACAACCTCACCGCATTTGCGGGATCAGCTAAAACGTCCTTCTCGGGAACGGTAACAGAGCCTTGTAGAAGACCTAAATTCAACAAAGGGAAAAATTAACCGGTTTTCTTATATATGGGATGAAGTCAAGATAAGTTCGAGAGTCAACTTACCATGATTTTTGGCCTTCCACCCATATTTGAGGGACAACTCTTTCCATCGGCGGGTATCGGGCATGGTGACATCTAAAATCTTCTGGACCCACTGGTCTAAGCCTTCGACCCTTGGTGGTATCCACCGAGTTTCTAAAATAATGAAAAAAAGGATCAATGATAACATGGAACAACCTTTAACTAGAAGAAAGCACATGGTTGCACTTACGTGTACGATTCCATTATTCAGGAAAAGATGAAATTATTGTCGGGATGATGTCCCTGGTGGCAATTGCAATGAACCACTCCATCCATCCACGATCTTTGTCATCATCCATGCTGGTGAGTAAAGCATGGCGACCACGTTTGCTGAAATTTATCATTCCCTCACGAAATATCTTGGGGGAATAAATGTTCATCAGTCGGACCAGGGAGAGCTCTTCCCCTGTCTCCTAGCATAGACCCCGAATACATGCGACCGTCCACCACACAGAAGGGCTCACATGTGCCAAGCAGATCTGGTAACGAAAGCAAAACTCCAAGATAACGGAGTCAAGCCCTCCGCTTAATGAGAGTGGGCCGAAAGTGAAAGGGTACGTGTAAATATTCGTAAAACCATTCTTGGAAAAGGTTACCCGCTCCTCTAGGTCAGGAGCGATAATGTTCAAATCTTGGAAATCACAGTCTTCCTTCACAGTAGGGATGCTAGAAGGACGGATAGAAGAAGGGTATACACCAACAACCCATGTGCGGGAGCTTGCAGAATGGAACTTCTCTTTGAAATCCTTAGTTGTAGTAAGATTTCTGGGGATAATGGTGCTCACTGTAGGAAGAGCATCATCATTAGTACTTTCTTTGTTCTTTGAAGAACTAGAGTTTTTGGAAGAAGAAGCCATAATTAACAAAGGGAAATAAGGTTTTCTCCGAAGAAGAAGGTTGAAAGCAAGAGTGAGTTGAGTAAAGAAAGTTTGAGAGAGTTTGAAAAATTATGAAGTGTAAAAGAAGATTGATGTGTATAAGTAAAGGAATAGAGGGCTAAAATCGTGGTTATGATTACCTCGAGAACTAGCGAAAGTGTTGCTGAATCATGGGATGATGCATATTCGGGGCATTAAATACGGGAGACGTATGTCTAATCCACCGTCAGAAACTTTTCAGAGGGGTCAAAGAATTTCCNAGATATTCATTCATACATCACACTTATTTTGTATAAAACTTCTTTTTAAACGATGTTTTTGGTGTATGTTTCCTTCTTGCGCTTTGGACCTTTGGTTGATCTATGATGATCAAAATTCGTGTTGTCAACATCGATTTTTTTCTTAAAAGTGCAATATATATTTATATAAGATAATATTTTATGGATTATACAGTGCAACATGAGTTAGACTTATTAAATCACGATTATACAATGTAAAATGTTGATCGCCTTAATATCTAAGTGCCATGATTAATGTGCCAATATTAACGTGCAACGCACGTTTGTAGAAACTAGTATATCTATATTATTATAAGAGCACGAATGATTTATGCTAAACGTTGAATGACTAAAATATCACCGAAATATTGATCGAATT